TGGGAAGTCATTGTTACTACTTTGTCATTGTGCTCGTTTTAGTAATACGTAGTATATGTTGTTATATCGTCTGGCCAATTTGCATGCTGGCCCATCGTTCATCCAGTCATCATGGGCATCGCGATTTTTTATTAGTGTTGCGTTGAAATGAGAATCGCGTTTGGATTAGTGTTGCGTTGAAATGAGACTCGCGTTTGGATTAGTGTTGCGTTGAAATGAGAATCGCGTTTGGATTAGTGTTGCGTTGAAATGAGAATCGCGTTTGGATTAGTGTTGCGAATAATTATATATCGTGATTTTTCTTATAAACTTTTATAGTTTCTTATCAAGTAATATTAAAATTTATATCATTTGTCATTAGATTCTTTTTATTTAATTAATAATAACTTTTTAATTAATAGAGATAATGATTAAATTCGTTTGGTAAAAGTAGTGTTGCGTTGACAAATAATCGCGTTTGTTTGAATAGCGTTTAGGAATATTGAATGCCCAAATTTCTTCCACTGTGAATGTGGAAGTATTCACGTTCCTGTTCCTGAATCACCTTAAGTAGCTAAAAAAAGCTACAAGGGTGATGTACGACAGCAGTCATTAAGGATACCATACTGGATCTCTCGTCACTAATGTCACGTTATTTAAATTCGAGTGTATAGAGTAGTATTGCATAAATAATTATTTCCGGGAATTTTCTAGCTTTTTTTTCATATTTTTTTTTAATCAATTATAAATTAATTAGTATTGCGTTCATAAAAATCGCGATTGATTTGAAAAATTTTTTCTTTTTTAAAAAAAATTATAATCTATTAGTGTTGCGAATTATAAAGTAACGGATTGAATTAGAGTTGCGTTGTAATTTTCGCGTTTCTTTATTAGTGTTGCGAATGATAAAATATCGTGTTTTTTTTAGTATAAATTGTTAAAGTTTCTAAAGTATTAAAATTTATTAATATCGGTAAGTGACGAGAGTAATATTATAAGTAAGTACTATATACTAATATATTAATATTATAAGTAAGTCACAATAAAAATGGAAATATAAAAAAAAAGAAATGGGATATTATATGTGAGATATACATTACTTATTTGTAGATTTCTATATAGGCAAGATTTATATAAATTTTCACTTTTATGACATAGATAGACGTAAAAGTGATAGTGATATAATATAGTAATAATAATATTACAGTAATAATGATATAACGCATATTACTATTATTATAACTATATTATCAACAATATTAAATTTATAATTAGATTTCAAATAAAGTTAATTTTATAGTTAGATAGAAATTTTTCAATCGAAATCTAAACATAGAATGGTATAATGGTAAATTCTGTTATATAGTAAATCCTTTTTAAAGATTTATTTAAATGAATTCATGAAAAATAAAAGTACCTTGTCAATCGTATTTCTTGTATATCTCACAAAATTTATTCCATCAGAATTGTTATTTCCCATTTGAATTATTTCATGAAGCTAGATTTTACTAATTTTTTTCGACATCGGTTCAGAAACAAGTTACATATAAAAAAAGTAAATAAATAACTTGTCGAATTAATTCAAACATGTCATATTATTTCATCTTTTATTCTACGTTGAATTTGCAACATGGAAAATAACATTAAAATAATAATGTATCTTTAGAAATTCTGGGATACATAGGATACGATGAACGTATTGGATATCCTCTATTCTGTTATTTCTCATGATCGTATGAAAACATACATATAGATTATTCTATTCGTAGAATAGAATTAATTTTTCATCAATTTCCAATTTATTCGACTGTCATCGAATTTTCCTTTATCATCGTCCATTTCCTTTTTCTTTTTTTTCGCATTTCGGATTTTTGAATGAAATTAATATTTACACGAATGCGCAATACTATCTTAATCCATGACGCTGGAAAGTTCATTGTCCTAAAACAGCGAATTTATTAGAATTTTGGAATGTTTACACGTAATACACCATCCCTTTTCGGTGTACGAGTGTGTTTCTTCTAATTTAGCCGAGTAGAAGCGACGAAAAGTGCAGTCAGGGGTTGCCTTTGACGCAGACCAGAAGAAGCTTAAATTGTCTTTGCTGTGAGGCCTCAAAAGGCGAGGCTGTTTGCCGTGCGCCTCTTATTTGCCGTTTATTTCCTCCTCGGATCCTGAATTTATCCTCTCTTCATCTTCCCTCTCATCTAATCTCTGCGACGTATGCAAGCACGTTTATCTTTTATCCATCCCTTTCCTAATGGAATCACCCGTGTCAAGTACCGAGACAAAATTTGCAACAGCATTCTCCCAACGTTTATCAAATTTCCTTCATCTCTCTGTTTCAAATTTCCTTCGAATCCTCCTCGAAATTTCTCGTTTCCCAAAAACGATCTTCGAGAGATAAACTTTTATATTCTATCTGTCTATCTTATCGTCGGTATACAGTCCGTTGATCTGTCCGTTCAATTCCGAAAAATTAACTTACTCGCAATGAAAATTTATATCGAATGAAATTCCATCCATACTCGATATTTTATCCCAAAGATAATACCCATCTCTTTCAGATTAACAAACGCTCCTTCCTTTCCATTTTTCTTTCTTTTTCCCTTTCCTTTTCCCTTGCC